CACCGTACTCCAGCCTGGGCAAAAAGAGCAAAACTCCACGTCACTAATGATCAGGGAAATGCAAATTAAAACCACAATGCGATACCACCTTACTTCTGCAAGAATGGCCATAAAAAAAAAAAAAAAAAAAAAAAAAGGTAGATGTTGGCATGGATGTGGGAACACTTCTACACTGCTAGTGGGAATGTAAACAAGTACAGCCACTAACAGCCACTATGGAAAACAGTGTGGAGATTCCTTAAAGAACTAAATGTAGAACTACCATTTGATCCAGCAATCCCACTACTGGGTATCCACTCAGAGGAGAAGAAGTCATTATTCAAAAAAGATACTTACACACTCATGTTTGTAGCAGCACAATTTACAATAGCAAAATTGTGGAACCAACCCAAATGCCCATCAATCAATGAGTGGAAAAAAAAATTGTGGTATGTATATATAATGGAATACTACACAGTCATAAAAAGGAATGAATTAACAGCATTTGCAGTGACCTGGATGAGACTGGAGACTATTATTCTAAGTGAAGTAACTCAGGAATGGAAAACCAAACAACATATGTTCTCACTGATATGTGGGAGCTAAGCTATGAGGATGCAAAGGCATAAGAATGATACAATGGACTTTGGGGACTTGTGGGGAAGAGTGAGAAAGGGCTGAGGGATAAAAGACTACAAATATGGTGCTGTGTATACTGCTGGGGTGATGAGTGCACCAAAATCTCACAAATCGCCACTAAAGAACTTACTCATGTAAACAAATACCACTTGTACCCCAATAACTTATGGAAAAAAAACCCGCATGTCATTTCTGGGGTAACAGCTAAAAGGATTAAATAAAAGGAAATGACTTACAAACTAGCAGGAGACAAACATTGAAATGATAAAAAACTCTGAAAATGGAGAAAGATAAAACAGAAGGTACAAAATAAGACAGAAATTTAAGTCCAAATGTATCAGTAATTATGTATATAAATGACTAAATATACCAATTAAAAGTCAAGAATTGTCAGACTGAAATTTAAAAAAAGAAGCTCTACTTTATACCAAAATGGTTATGAATATAAATGCAAATGCAAATAATGAAATCATAAGGCATTTCTCAGTTAAATCACAGTTACTGAGATGATCTAAAATATTTCAATAGTACTCCCAAAACATGGACTTGAAATATATAAAGTGAAAATTAAAATAACTCTAAGAAAAAAGTGACATCCAGAATTGCATTGGAAAATGTTTCTTTACTTATTTACTTTTATTAATAATTGATAGATTCAATTAGAAATCAGTAAGTACATGGAGTGTTTAAACAATACATCTGATGTATGTTTAAAATCACCTGTGTATATAAAAAATCACCATGTGTTTAAGGAAGGTTCCCAGAAAAGCTGTTACAAGAAACTTGTTGTTTAAAATTTATTGACTTGAACTTATTCACATGGCCACATCTCGCTGCAAGGGAGTCTGGGTAGCCATGTACCCCTCTAAATATTTGGGACTCCACTACTTTGAAAGAAGAAGAAATTTATATTAGGAGTCAACCAGGACTCTCTGGCACAGATACTACTATAAAGATAGAGAGCTAAGATTAGTGTGATGCTCAGTACCCTTAATACGTGACAGACTACACTTAAATAAAAATTAATTGGTACAAACATTATTATAAATATAAGTGAAAATGCAAAGTTTAAAATCATGTGGCAGTACTACCTTAAAAGATGATTCTACAAACAGTCAGAATATGCCAATGCTATTTTTTAAAAGATTATATTTGAAATGAATTAAATGCACTTGCATTCATACATTCTTGTAGAGGAATTCAAAATGCTCCTCCCTGCCTCATCTATTTATGAAGACCAGTTTGAAGAAAACTGGCTCAGAGAATGATACCAACAAAAGATTTTTCAGGATCTGGCCCCTGCCTCATCTCTCACACTTTTCCACACCTTTTTCCTGCACTGTTGCATTTCTCCATAGACAGTATGAATTCTCAAAGCTCTACGTCTTGTATGTTATTCTCTTCCTGGCTCCTTTTTCTTACATTGGCCTTTTGTTCCCATTGGAGAAGCAGGAGTGTGCCAAGAGGGTAGGTAGGCAACCTTATTTTTCCAGAGGTAATTAGGCATACTTTTCTCTCCTCCCCCTAATTCACACATGTAAAACATAGGGTACACTTGACATTACTAGTATCATCATCATTAAGTCTTTGAACTGTAACCATTATTATGTTGCCATTTAAAAAAATCTCAGTACCCTTGCACTGTTTGTCTATTTCCCCGAATGGTGTGCACACTGCTTGATTGGAGGGACTTATTTTATTACCATTCTTGGCATCTTCAGCATATAGCACAATGCCTGGCTCACAAAAAGTGTTCAATACATATATGTCACATGAAGTATTAATTAGAAAAAAAAAAGTCAGCAAGTTAAATAAGCTTCCTTAGGAACTTAGGTCACTCAATGTTTTAATTTTCCTAAGTAAACACTAAAGTACTCTTTA